CAGCACTTAAAAATCGATGGTTGTTTACTTCTCAAAAATATTAATTGTAAGAGCCCAATTTCCTTCATCTCTAAACCCCTCTTGGTAGAAAATTGCTAATAAGAGGTTAGAGCTTGGGATAATAGAGGGGATACTTATAATTGATGGGGCTGCCACATTCTTTCCAGAGCAAGATATTTCCCACCTAACATCACCTTCTGTTTATGTTTAAGCACAAAATTCGTGGATGACTCATGCAATGATGGAGGTTGGTTGTGGGATTGGATCGATGTTTGAAATGAGTTTTATTGATTAGCTTATGCAGTGATGATGTTGAGTTCTATCCTATGGAGTATGGACATTGGTAGGCTCGCGGTGGCTAAAAGTTTTGTGACACTAGTGGCATATGTAGCATTTTATTACATTAGGCAAGCTTATAATATTTGCACTTATTATGTGTAATGTTATACTTTTAATATTAATTTGCATTAAAATCGAAAATTTATATAGAACATCAGTTCTGACTAAGGGGGTGTTTGTCTAAGCTTATAAGCTGGTCAAACTTGCTTAAAAGCTCTAAAATTAAGCTGACCTGTTTGTTTATAATCTTTTTGAGCTTATAAGTTGAGCTTATAAGCCAAAAAAAATAAGTTGGGGGGGGAGTTATTTTTTTTTTTTTGGCTTATAAGCACTCTGCTTATAAGCTAGTTTGATCAAGTATATTACCACATTATCCTTATTTAATTTTAAAATTCCATAGTATAACCTTATTTAATGTAGTACCATTTTTAGTCATTTTATAATAAAATGTACTTATAAGTCACATTTTATCAAACACGTCAACTACTTATCAGTCACTTATAAATACTTTAACCAAACACGTAATTGCTTAAAATTTCAAATGCTTATATTAGCTTATAAGTACTTGTTGCTTATAAGCTAATTTTTATAAGCTCAGACAAACACAAATGATTTGCCAGCTTAATCTTATCAGACATACGTGTCAAGTGGGTCTGGCTAGCATTGTACAAGCCCAAAACATATGGGCCGAACATGACATGAGACCTTGGAGAATTTACATTGGACTTAGACTTTAGGCAAGAAAACCCAATAATATTAGTACATTGATCAATACTAAAACATGAATAATTATTTGAAAATTTACATAAGGTTGTGAATTTTTACAACCATTTTGAATTTTGAATTTAAAAAAATTATTGTAAAAATTTTCGTATCAATATTTATTGGATCAAATAAATAAAAATTAAATTATTTTGTAAAAAAAAAAAAAAAAAAAAAAGAGGAGCAATTTTAAGGTTTAAATATTATTTACCACCATTGCAAACAACCATCGATTTATACAATTTATTGAATATTACATTAAACAAAATATATTATACAATTTTGATGATATTTAAAAATAATTTAATATTTAATGAAATCATTTACATGGATAAATTTGATATTAAACTATTGTTCTATAATGAAAAATACTTAGTTCTATGACTCTGTCTACTTATGGGCTCAGTGGCCCTACAAGGGCTCTATTGAAATCGGCCCACAAGGAGGGAAACCCAACCCAACAATATTTTAATTATATGAGATCTTCTTCACATTGACAGCTTTTGTTAGTCAGGCAAAAAAGTTCAAAGAATTACTGAATCCTGTTGGACCGTCCTTCAGGCGAAAAGGATAGTTTATGTTTTTTACGTCTCCACATGAAGAAGAACGCACTTGTTAAAAGTTTTTTTTTCCTTGTATTTCAGTAATGACTAATGAATAGAAAGATCAATAGAGAAAATATAAATTGGAAAGATGCATTATGTTTGAGTAACATACAAAATTGATGATAAAACTGAAAGAAATCATAAGAGCATTGTTATGCTTACTATTGAATTATACAAACAGATAAAAAATAAAAGATAAAGTAATCATTTTATATAAATTTTATGTAATTTTTATCTATTTATATGATTCAGTTGTAAGTAAAAATTATTAAAATCCAGACTCTTTGAGGAGTTGTGACATTGATACTTTTGCACGAATACATTAATATAGGAAATGTTTGGTTTCGGCATGAGACTGGCAATGGGATGGAAATGTACCCAGGGATATGGAATAGTAAATTCTATTATTATATGTATATTCTAAATTTCTTTGCTTGCTTGTAATTAGGAATGCTAAGGGAATTGAATAAAATTTGTGATTCTGAAATGAAATTACTTCAAGTCTAAATTTTTATATATGTATATTCTATTACATCATGAAATCCATTAAAAATTAATTAGATAAATACCACCTTAATAATTTAAAATATTTCATAAAAAATTAAATTAAATATTATAAATAAAACTTAGATTATATTACTATATTTTATTTAATTATTATTATTATTATTTAAAAATTGTCACCTATCATGCAACCTCTTGATTGGAACCTACCTTTTGAAGTGATGTGTGATGTGTCGGACTATGCCATTGGTGCAGTCCTTGGCCAACGGGTGAATAAAAGGCCCATTGTGATCTACTATGCAAGCAAGACCCTCTTCATCCGCATGGTTAATTAACAAAACAGAAAAGGTTGCTTTATTAGAATCTCAACAAATCATTATTCTAAAAGACTAGTTAACATTATAACTACAATAATTGAAACTCAAACTTCTAGCACAACAATGCACGCATTCAGTGGTTAAAAGTCGATGGTTAGTTTCCTTCTCAAATATTCATTGTAAGAGGCCAATTTCTTTCATCTCTAAAAACCCTCTTGGTAGAAAATTGTTAATAATGCACAGCTATATGCAAGTATATTTTATTTACTTTTATTTTTTTGTGATCGTGGGTGTCCAAGTTAGTTTGCACGTATTCTAACTAATCCAGTGGGACCTTGAAGTTGACAGCTAGATAAATCCCCTCAGTAGGGACCCCTATGAGCAACTCAGATGATCGAACTCAAAATCTTTTGAGTAATACACCTAAGAGTCATAGTTAACCACTGAGCCACCCAATGGTAATTACATGCAAGCATATTCAACCCCTCACATATATCAGAAGTTTAATTATGATATTCCCAAATCATTTCTATTTCAGCAGTTTAATATTTTCACTGCTAATTTTACCACTAACATAAATTCTTTAATTGAACTGATAATTATTAGATTCTTGAACTTGAAACATCTATATCCTGTGGGTTAAAGCTTACATCTCTTGAAGATGAGCAATCCTTATACCATACACAATAAGCTGTGTTGAATCATTAATCCTATTGGGCTTGGTGGGTCATCAGTGGCCTAACTTGATGAGGGTATTAGTGGGCTTGTCTTAGGTGGGCCTGTCTTAGGTGGGCTTGTAGGACTGGATTTTGTATTTAGACAAGCCACACACCCTGTAAAGCTATAGAACTAAATATAATAACAGTGAAAATTTTCAAAAAATTACTGTTTGATAATTGATGAATAGAGTTCATACAAAAATGTATTGAGTTTCCTGTATTTTAGATTCACCAATATACTATTTTTCATTTCAATCAAAACAGAGGCTGATGAATGGCATAACTCAATACTATAACCCTCCTTTGGTTTCCCCTCTAAAATGCGCCGTTCTCTACCTCCAGCTCTGAGCAAGCTGACAGTTACATCTTTGCTAAAGGTGGGTTTTAATCATCTCAATTTACTTATATCTACTTCAATATCACATGTATAGCTTTCATTTCTTGTGTATAATGCTTGGGTACTTGATTTAATTAAAATTCTTGTTTGCATGTTAATGTATTGTACTTTGTTGTGTTGATATTTATTTGCTTTGGTTGATTAGTTAAATGGGTTCATAAATTTCTTGGGTTTGTTAATTTGCTTGTGAATGGCTATCATGTGTTTCACAAAATTTCCCGATGAGAAACACATCCCTACCCTTAATTATTAATTAAAAGTTAGGCCATGGTTTTGGTTGTCACAAGAAGAGAACCATGGATAAGTATGAGAGCAAAGAAAGCAAGAAAGCGGTTAATTTTTGTGTAAGATTGTTGAAAAATTGGACTCAAAGTTACCACTAGTCACAGGCCTAGGTAGCTACCAATTATATTTTACTAATTTAGTGTGGGAACCAGTAAAATAATTAAATAAAACTAATTAGACATGCTTAATTGTTCAGCAAGGCGAATTAAATTAAATTCGACAAGTTAACTATTTACATCTTCGTGACTAATTAAGATTAGATTCTTCAATTGCATAATTTGAACTATTTATAATAAATTGATCCTCTACTTTTTTATTAAATTGCCAAGTGCGAGTGAAGGTGTCTTCGTTAGTTAAGTAACTATGAGAATTTCAAATTAATCAACAGTTCAATTTTGACAAATTACTGATGAGTTGCAAGGAAATTACTTAGCAAGAAAGTTGTTAATTGCCATAATAATCTCCATAAAATAGCAATAATGATGATAGTAAATTGTGCATCAAGAATTGACTTTGTTTCATTTTGCGATTTCTAGTAATTAATTTATTTATTTATAGAAAAAGAAGAAATTGAGTTATTTGTTTTCTTGGCTTATGTAAATTTAGATGTTTGTTCACTTTGAATATGATAGAAGATTTAGAAGAAAGTTAGGGTTTTTGTTATAGGAAGGATAGAGCTAGTGAGGTGACAAATGCTTAATGCTTGTAATTAGGATGAACAAATTGGAATGTATTCTTACTATTACAGTTGAAATGATATAATTTAGTTATTTCTCTAGTCATTTAGTATTTGCAGTTCAATGTATTAACCATAAAAAGTTAGTATTCTCTAAATGAGTCAAAGTGTTAAGAATTGCACTTGTACACTATCGTTTGGCTTGTTAAGAGTTGTACTTATACACTGTCATTTTGAGAATTAGCTAAGCTACTAAAGTAGCTACTTCATAAGTGTAACTGCTTTACTCTTCAGTCAACTATTAAGAAATCATTTTACCCTTTTTCTCTGTTCTTTCTCTGTCTCAATTCGATATCCATCATTTGTACATGGTATTAGAGCCACTGACTTGCGTCAATGGTGAATCCTTCTAAACCTACTGATGGACTCAACAATTCAAACGAATTGTTGAACCAGTCAACAAATCGAACTACATCAGCTCTAACCACCAGTTTACAAGTCATCAATCCCAAACTCACTCAAAGCAATTATCGCTTTTGGAGTTCTCAGGTATTATCTACCATTGGTTTACACGAACTTGAGGATCATCTTCTTGGTAAGATTGCATGTCCCTCACCTCTTATCATTGCTAATTCTGAAATTACTTAAGATTTAGGTTGAATTAGTGGTGAGGTTAAATCAAGTAATGTTTCTGTAAATGAACAGTTGAATCTTGCCTATATAATATGGAAAAGAACTGATAAATTTCTAGTAAGTTGGCTTTTGGCATCAGTTTCTAAAAGTATGTTTGGATATGTATCAAAGTGTAGAAGTTCCACTAAAATATGGTTTGCCTTAGAGAATGAATTCATTATTGACTCAAAGGCTAGAGCATTACATTTAATAATCTTCTTCAAACCACGCAAAAAGGCAATCTAAGTGTAGGTGATTATGTTAAAAAAATGAAAGAAATTGCTGAGAGTTTGTCAGCTAGTGGACTGGTAATTGCTGATGAGGATCTATTACAATATGTTCTAGATGGGCTAGGACCTGAATTTGATGTAGTTGTCATGAATTAACATCACACATTGAGTCAAAATTCAATTCTGTCACACTGCAAGAGGCCCAATTTTTGCTGCAGAAATATGAAATAAGACTTGAAAAATTTAATACAATAGATCTGTACAACTGTTCAGCACATACAACCTCTATCGGTATTTCACATAGCTTACATGGTTCCACCAGTGACACAAATCATGTTTCCAAACCTGAGTTAGAAGGCTCTCAATCTGACAGTGTCTAGTTCACTTTATCCTGCTCCACCTACTTTAATGTCACTAGGTAATCCTCATTATCCCCAATATCTTATCTTAGCCGCTCCTCAATAGTTTGGTTAGAATTTTGGTCAATCTCCATATAACAACAAGCCACCTGCCTTTGGAGGAATGTCACATGGCAGGGACAGAGGTTGAAATGCTGGGAGAGGCAAATTGATTTGTCAACTATGTAATAAAATAGGACATTCTACTAGTTAGTGATATCACATGTACAACTCTGCCTATAATGGCATGATTCAACACTTTGCAGCTAACACATCACAACAGCCAAGCCTCCACTATGAAAGTTCACCTCTTCCACAACACAACAGCCACTTTCACTATAATGCTCCTCAGTATAATAGCACTGGATAGAGTACACCTGGCAATCTTCAATATAGTCGATCTGGAAGACTGCCTCATTCTCAACAATCCTATACTTCTCATTTTGGAACTCCATCTGACAGGTTTAATTCTGGTGTTGTTCTATCCACTAATAATGCAACTGTTAATGGTTTTGGTGTCCCTCGTCAACAGGTGCCTAGTCAAAGCCAAGCTCATTTTGTAAATGCTAGTCCTCATTTAAACTCAGCACCTGATTAGCATTATCAATCTTCAACACCTCCTGCACAACCCTTTCCATAACCATAGCAGTTTGCTCTTACTACATCACTCACACCTCCTGATCCAATATGGTACATGGATTCGGGTGCAACTGATCATGTTACCTCAAACCTCAATCATCTGAATTTTAGCAAAAACTACTCTGGAAAGGATCAACTTCAAGTACGCAGCGGTGAGTGTCTCTCTATTTCCCATACTGGTCATTCTACTATTCCAAGTGTTTTTCATTTTAAGTATTTACACCTTAAAAACATTCTATGTGTGCCTAAGATAACAAAAAACTTACTTAGCATCTCTAAATTCACCAAAGACAACAATGTTATTGTTGAATTGACTCTAACTACTGTGTTGTTAAGGACAAGTACACATGAGCAATTTTACAACAAGGGGATCTTAAAGGTGGTTTGTACCAACTGAATTCCTCCTCCACTCAGCCCTTACTTGTCCCTCATTTGTTGTTTGCCACTGCATCATCCTCTAATGTAGCTTCTACTAATACTTCTGCTCTTGCTTCACAAGGTCTTCAATATAAGTCAATACATTGTAGAAATCCCTTTGTTTTAGTTAAGTCTAGTACTTCATTTGTTTCAGCTGAACCTGATGTTCAAGGTCACTTTGATGCTTCTTTCATGTTAGTTAAGTCTAATGTTCAGGGTCAATGTGACCTTAATAAAAACTGTAGTAATCCTATTAGTTACATTGAGTCTGATACTATTAATCAGTATGTGTCTAGCAAAAATAATGATGATGTAGTCCATAATTCTAATATTGGTCAATGTATTTCATCTCTGAATAATAAAACTTCGGGTTCTGATAAATGTACTGCTCAAACACATACTTTTGATTCATGTTCTGTTTTTGCTAACATCAATGCTTGCATATTCACTGCTGAAAATTGCATTGCTCACACACTTACCATTGCTCCACATTGTTTGACAGCAAGTGTTAACACTAATGTTTACTTACTGTGGCACAAAAGATTGGGTCATCCTCACTCACAAGTCCAACATCACATTCTAACCAATTTGCATATCAAGTTTCCTTCAAAACTAAATACTTCAGCTAGTTCTCATGTTAATTAATTTTTGTGATGCCTGCCAATTAGGCAAATTACACCACACCACTTTTCCAGCTTCACATTCTCATGCCTTAGCACCCTTAGAGTTAGTGCACAGTGATTTTTGGGGTCTTGCCCCTTTTACTTCCATTGAATGCTTTAAATACTATGTTCAATTCCTATATGACTATAGTAGATCACATGGTTGTTTCCTCTCAAAACCAAAGCTGAAGTTAGGTCAGTTTTTATAAAATTTCAGCACTTAACTGAGAGGCAGTTTTGATATAAGCTTAAAAGCTTATAGTCTGACCAGGGAAGAGCATATAAGGCTTTCCTACCCTACCTAGTTGACCAAGGCATCCAAATTAGAGAATCTTGTGCCTATGTTCACTAACAAAATGGTAGAAGTGAGAGGAAACATAGGCATATTGTAGAATCTAGATTAACATTGCTTGCTCATGCATCTATGCCTCTTCAATATTGGTGGCTAGCCGTTGAACTGTTGTATATTTGATAAATAAAATGCCTATGGCCACTCTTTTTAATACATCACCTTATCAAAAGTTGTTTAAAAAGGTTCATATTTATGATAGTTTGAAGGTCTTTAGATGCACTTGCTTTCCCTACATGAGGAACTACAATAAACACAAGTTTGACTTTCATACCATTAAGTGTGTCTTTGTAGGGTATAGTTTGATTCATAAGGGATACAAATGTCTAACTCCTGATGGTAAGATTGTAATTACTCCTAGTGTTCAATTCAATGAATGTGAGTTCCCTTTTGCTGTTAATTCTTTACACTCTTCATTTCAACCTTCTAGCTCTACACCCTCTAGTTAAGTTCATAATACTGATACTTCCACAAATACACACACTTCATCTTTTCACTTTTGGTCTATCCCTTATCCTTTGCAGTCTTCAATAGCCACTGATCCTTTTGCAGTAAACATCACTCCTGACAACCATGTTTCAGATGATACAACAATTGGTAAGAATTCTTCTCCTCTTAACTCTTCTTCCTTTAATCCAAATACATATTCTCCTTTACTACTTGCTTCCACTAATTGTAATAGTCCATCCTCACCTAATGTTACACCATTACCTCCAATTAATACCTCTCTTGATCAGTGTCCCTTACCCTGTAACAAACCTGGTTCTTCTGAAAACACTACTGCCATTAACCCAAAAATAGAAGCTGCTATCCCTACAAGGTTTGCAGATTGCTCGCTCATACCATGTCCGCTTGTAGTTGATCTTACTTCTTCTCAATTTGCTGCTGCTTTAGCTGGTTCAAGTCTGGGTACACAATACAGTCTCATGTCCTACTACTTCTGCAGCTGTCAACATACACCCTATGATTACCAGGTCTAAATCAGCTACTCAGACCTGTTGTTCACCCGATTATCAAGATGACTATCATTTAGCCTTTTTTGCTGAAGAGTTAGAGTCTACTAAACTGATTGAAGCTGAACCTACAACAGTCTTTGAAGCCCTTAAAGTACCAAGTGGAAAGCTACTATGCAATCTAAATTTGATTCACTTGTCCAGAATAGTACTTGGACTCTTGTGCCGTCTTCCTTTGATATAAATATAGTAGGAAACAAATGGTTTTTTTGCACCAAACTCAATGCTAATGGAACACTACAGAAATATAAGGCCAGACTAAAGGGGTTTCAACAGACCCCTGGTCATGATTACTTTGAAACCTTCAGCCTAGTAATCAAACCAGCCACTATACGAATATTTTTTACTCTAGCAGTAACTAATGGATGGGATGTGCAACGGATTGATGTTAATAATGCATTTCTTAATGGAGTGTTAACTGAAACTGTCAACATGAAGCATCCACCTGGTTTTGAGAATCCTGTCTTTCCTGATGCTGTGTGAAAGTTGAACAAGGCTCTCTATGGCCTTAAGCAACCTCTTAGAGCTTGGTTTGACAAGTTGAAAGCTGTCTTACAGCTCAAAGGTTTCCAGAATTCAGTCTTAGACTCAAGTCTTTTCACTCTTCAGCAAAATTCTAGTTATATATATGTTCTTGTATATGTTGACAATATATTGATTAGTGGTTCAGATGAGGCCTTTATAGCTCAGTTGATGAACGATCTTAATGACCATTTTGCGTTAAATACTTTTGGCTCCCTTAAGTATTTTCTAAGGCTGGAAGCAACCAGGAATTCAAATGGTATTTACCTAAAGCAGTCCAAGTATGCTTCTGACTTGTTGATAAAAACTAAAATGATGGAAGCACTTGCTTGTTCCACTCCGATGGATGTTGGTGTCAAGCTTAGCTCCACAGACAGTGAACTTTTTTAGGATCCTGGATTGTATCGCAGTACTGTAGGGGCATTGCAATATTTAACTCTTACTAGACCAGATATTAGCTTCACAGTGAATAAGCTAAGCCAATTCTTACAAGCTCCTACTGAGTTGCAATGGCAAGCTCGTAAAAGGGTGTTAAGGTATATAAAAGGTTATTTGCATTATGGTCTTCATTTTAAACAAGCAAGTGCTTTACATGTAGAGTGCTATGCTGATGTTGATGCTGATTGGGGTGGTAATTTAGAAGACCGCAGATCAACCAATGGCTGTTGTGTATACTTAGGACCGAACTTGATCTAGTAGAGTTCTAGGAAATAGAAAGTTGTTGCTCTTTCCTCCACTGAAGCAGAGTACCGAGCTCTTGTTCAAACTACCACAGAAGTAGCATGGTTACAGAGTATGTTCACTAAGTTAGGGCTGTCCTTTCATATTGTTCCTGTGATATGGTGTGACAACGTTAGTGCTGGAGCACTTGCATCCAATCCTGTGTTTCACTCCAGAATGAAACACATTGAGATTGATGCTCGTTACATTCGAGAACAAATTTTACAAAGAAAGTGGCTATTCAGTATGTTCCTTCCAAATTACAGATTGCAGATTTTCTTACTGAGGCATTGTTAGCTGCTTATTTTAATGAGTTAAGATCCAAACTAAATGTGATATCACTTGATGATAGCTGCAAATGAGTGTGAGTTTGCTGTATGTTAGTATGTTTTCAGTAGCCTTTACTGCAGTTAATTGGCTGTCTATAGACCAGTTTCACTTGGTAGTATTTTGCTCTGCCATCATAGTCTACTACAATCTTAAGGATCTATCAGTTGCTCTTCATTTCTGGTGAACTATTTCAATTTCTCTCTTATGGTCTGCAAATTTCTCTCTTATGATCTACAAATTTCTCTCTTATGATCTGCAAATGGTAGTTTTCTACTCTGCAATCATAAGTCTGATCCAGCTCTTTTGGTAGTTGCAAAATGAACAAGTAATTGATCTGTTGTGCAAGTTTGTGCATGCTTTAACAATATTTCCACAGATTGCTTATTAGTCTGCTTCAAGTGTTCTCTCAATAATCAGAAAGCTGCTGATGATAACAGCTCAGGTTATTGAATCAACATTTTTATTTAGAATAATTGAATTAGATGATTGAACTAGCGGTTTTAGAATTGTTGAATCAGCTCAGAAGGGGCTACCGGTAGAAGCTCAGATTAGAGGTAGTTTGGTTTAAGGTGGAATATTAACCGTAAAAAGTTAATACTCTCTAAATGAGTCAAAGTGTTAAGAATTGCACTCATACGCTGTCGTTTGGCTTGTTAAGAGTTGTATTATACACTGTCCTTTTGAGAATCAGCTAAGCTACTGAAGTAGCTATTGAGCTATACTTTATAAGTGTAACTGCTTTACTCTTCAATCAACTATTAAGAAATCATTTTACCCTTTTCTCTGTTCTTTTTCTGTTTCAATTCGATATCCATCTTTTGTACAATGCAGTTGATTTTTGTGACAATTAGTAAAGGGAGAGACATTTTGTATACAAGATAAGTAACTCTTCTGCCGGAAAATCCTGAAAATAGAAGGTCAGATCCTTGCAGCCTAATGAAACAACTTCCTTTAAGCGCAAGTAAGGAGTCTTTCAAAAAGATTGTAAGTAAATGCCTCAGGTTTCTATTTTAAATTTCTTATATTAGTGGAAACCACTTTTCTAGGAGTTCTATTACTATTTTTGTATTTTTATTCATGTACTTTGGTACTGTAGTGCAACACATGATGTACGGTTTTGGCGATGATCCTAATATAAGTAATGGTAACTGTCTTTCAACTTTTTTTTTTTTTTTCCGTCATCAACAGGATTGGGACGCTGAATTGTGTTGATGAACAATCTTAAATTTAATGATTTCGTTTGTTATGCATGGAACTGTATATGCTATTTGATGATTCTGTTATCTACTAATTTTATTTTGGTTCATGTGGATATGACCAAACCATAACTTTTAAAACCAACCTCTAGCATACCTGAATTAGCTCATTTCCTTGCATGCCCTAATTTTCATATGAAATTACTCTCATGTTTAGATTAAGATAATCTAAACATTAGATTGGCTTTAGTAATCCTAGGACAGTTTTTTTCTTCTTCTTTTTTTTCCCCTTAGGATGACTTTTGTTCTTCATTCCATAAAATTACAAATTGCTTTCATTGCTATGGTTACTTGTTGTTCACTCAGTTGACAAGCGGGTTGGTTTTGGGGGATTTTGTGAATTTGGTAAGATAACCTAGAAAATAGTTCACAAGAGTCTTTACATACTTTTTGAAGTTTACCTCAAAATAATGTGAAAATTGTTTGCAATGTTTATTACCTGTTTTAAGTAACCTGTAGCTTAAACTTTTTGTAGTCTGCATAATCTAGAAATGAAATAATCTTTTTCAAACCTCTTAAATGCATGTCCTGAAAATACATACCTGCATGCATACACATATATTATTCAATGGTGTATATTCTCTCTCTGAACAGATATCAGCTTCTTAATGAATTGATGTATATATCACTTGAATGACTATTTCATGCCATTATAATAATTCATGCTTCATTAACAACTAGAGACCTTAGTCTCCATGTGGTCAAATTTTACTTTTACATGATTCATATGGAACTGTTGTTATTTTGTTATTGGAATGTATAATGATATGCTTTCTGCTCGTTTAAATTTTATGTCTTGTTTGATGTATGTATGAATTTCTTGTTTTGTTTCACTCAGCCACTTCTAGAGACTTTGACACTTGTGGAGGACATAGTTGTGGAATATGTCACAGATTTGGTATGCGTTCTTTCTTATTAGTACTCATCTTTTTAATTTATTTGATAATATAACATCGTACTATTTATGCCACTTTTTGTAGAGGCAAATAAAGCACAGGGTATTGGCTCAAAGAGAGGAAAGTTATCAGTTGAGGATCTTCAATATTTAATCAGAAAGGTATCTTTCATGAGAGCTTGTTTAGTTCACCTTGTTATTAATGGAAAGTTGATTTTCCCACGTGGGGTTTTATATTTATTTTCTGCTTATCCAAAAAAATAAACTTCAATGCACCTTCATAAATAAACTTTCTCTAATAAAAATATCTCCATTGTTATGCCACCAGATGTCCATTTATTCTATACTGTAAAAGTATCTTAGCACAATGATTAAATTATTATCTTGAAAGATTTTAGTATGAGATATTTCCTTGGCTTTTGTGGGATATGGAAGGTGGTACAATGCAATTGTCTTTTTCTTGCTTTTTGTATTTGAGGAAGTTTGGTGCTTTAAAACTATACTTTATGGTGTTATTGAAATATTGGTTGAAATTTTATTGATTAACCCGACAGGATTTGCCAAAACTTAATCACTAAAACAAGCAAGGAAAGCTTTTGAGGTTGATGAAGAAAAACTGGCATCAATAGAGTGATTGACACATGAGTCAGACCTACAATTTCAATCACAAACAGAAGCATGCCACGCAAAACAAAATCCGTGGATTGTTTGAAAGGGCACTAACATATGAGAAAGTACTCTGGCTTTGGGATATTGTATATGAAGTTTACATTGTATGCAATCTATCTACTGCTAGAAGAAGGTTATTCACGCCTGCCCATGGTAAGAGCTTCTTCCGTCAATGAGGTTCATAATGAATTGTATATTAATGTTAGGAAGAACTAAGTAGGTATGCAACTAACCTAGCAACGCACCCAATTAAAATAATTTAGAAAATGAATATAATACTCATGATGGAAATTATTTAATTTTAATAATCTCAAAGAAGAATAGACAACGAAAGAGAGAAGAAGAGCTATTGATTTTTCATTAACTAAAACAGTTACAATCAGCTCATGCTTTTATACTCAAGGCTGAGCTTAAGCAGAGACGAGTTGAAGAAGGAGATACAAACAAGTTGAAGAAGAAGATTCAAATCAGACTTAGCTGTCGTTACAACCAATGTAAAGCACCAAGAGCAAAACGACATCGTACAAGATTAGTAAAAGCACAAATTACAAGAAGCTCCTCTACTGTTCATTTTATCACTAACAAATTTTCATATCTGCTTGTGCTACTTCATTCTATCTTTAGTTATTGTTTCATCTTCGTCTTCATCATTGACTTGTTATGCAATCTCCTCACTTTGAAATTATATCTTGGAAAGCAAGAGGAAGTCTCTCATTTTGGGCTTGGCTTGGGGGTGACTCAACTTAATTTAATGCCTGTGCTGTTGGGTGTCGGCCTTTCTAAGGTGGGCTTGTAGGTTTAGTGATGGGTGTTGTTGGGCTCTTTTCAAAACAAAATAAATGAAATAAATTCCAAGGTTTAAAAATTAGATTCATGGAATATTTAATTATGTTATAAAAGAAAAGAAAAGAAAAGAAAAAAGCACATGGCTGATGGCTCATCAAACTCCAATGCTTGTCCACTGGCATTCCTATCATATGATTAGTTTTAATCAAATAAGTATTTATATGAAATAATGGAGGTATTTTGATAGCTAATAAATATTTTATAGATTTTAGCTTAAGAAATAAGTGATTAAGAGAGAAGTTACACTAATTCCAAAAGCTAAGCTCCTTTTTTTTTTAATCATCAACATGCTTTTAAGATTTTGATAAATGTTTTATTAAAAAGCTTAATTTAATTAAAGTTACTATCATGTAACAAGATAATATAGTGACTCTAGGGAAATATTTTTATTCTATTTATTTTACTAATTTGTGAGACCTTTTAACCTTTAATTTCTAAAAGCCAATTTCGTTTTTCCTGTTGTAAATTTTAAATAAGCAATATTACAATTACAAAATCTTCTAACAAAGAGTTCAATTGAATATGAAGTGATGTGATATTATTCTTTAAATGACACATCAATTAATGAGTTGTCTTTGTATATTCACTTTACATGTTATATTTTGCCACATCATTTTGTTGAATATTATTCATTTTAAATGCTTGCATTATTAGTATTGAGTCAACACCTCTCT